AGGGAAATTTTTTGGGCCGGAGCTGGTCGTATTTCGAAAAATTCGTAAGTAGGGGCGTTCGTAAGTAGAGGCGAGTTCGTAAGGAGAGGGAAATTTTTTGGGCCGGAGCTGGTCGTATTTCGAAAAATTCGTAAGTAGGGGCGTTCGTAAGTAGAGGCGAGTTCGTAAGGAGAGGGAAATTTTTTGGGCCGGAGCTGGTCGTATCTCGAAAAATTCGTAAGTAGGGGCGTTCGTAAGTAGAGGTACCACTGTATTATTAACCTCTTTACAGTCAAAGTAACCGATGAACATGACGTAACAACTCTTTGCCTGAGTCAAAGGCAAAAGAAACTTAAATGGGAAGTGATGTGCAACGAAATGATTAAACCTGCAAATTCTGCCCTTCAAAGGCTGCCAAAAACTTGCCAGTCGTCGAATGGCACCTGCTTCTGTCATCATCGCCTTTTCCTCCTCTTGCGGGGATTTTTTTCTTCCTCTGTAGTGCTAAGGAGGATGTTCTTATCAGTGGGCTGAAACCGTTCACAAGATACAAGTTTGCAGTACAGTCCAACGGGGTTGGGATGGACAGTCCGTTTGGAGACGTGGTGGAGTGTTTCACCCTCCCAGACAGTAAGTACAGCGGCATGAAACGTTGCCCGATTGTGAGTCGGGGGTACAAATGAAGATCGTGTCTTGGTGCCAGCAGAAAAGGTGTCCTTAAAAAAAAAAAAAAGGGTCTAGTCCTTATTTTTATAGTGAAACCTTTCCTATACAGCTCTTCTGAATGCGCGCAGGAGTTGCCAGTACAGACAGAACCGTAGCCAATTAAAATCACAGCAGTAAAAAATAACAGGATGAAGGAAAAGAAGTTGTGAGGATTTTTTTTTAACTAGCAGCAAAAGCAGGAGCGTCTGCAAGGGTGCGTGTGTCAACAAGTCAAGATGGTGGCTACAAGTTTGTAATCAGAGCCCTGCCCTCTTTATGTCCCATCTTGCCTTTTTTTGAACCCCCCCCCCCATCTCCTCACAGATGCCCCTGAACAGAAGACTACTAAATTAGATGTTAGGATGAAAAGCAAATTTCCCCAACTTTTAAGCTTCTTGATTTGTCTTTTTTTGACCAATTTTGTTTCAGTTGTATTCTTTCCTTTGCTATCAGAGGGCCACCACCCAAAAGGCCCCGTTTCTGGTCCTTGCCTGCTTCATCTCTGGGAGCTTTGAATCTCCAGAAAGGACATCACAGGCAAATCTGTGGGGAGGCAGAGTTGGGATGGACTTGGGGGGGCGGGAAGAGCTTCAGAGGCTAATCCAGATGACCTTATGGTTGCTTTCCGTCTCCTTCTGCTGCCCTCCCGCAGGGCCCTCGACTCCCCCCTCTGATCTGCGGTTACACCCCATCAACCCGTATGCAGTCCAGCTTCATTGGTGTCCCCCCTCGGAACCGAATGGCATCATTGTGGAATATGTCATCCTGTACAATGCCAATTGCACCCAGCCAGACGAGATGTGGACTCTGTTGACCAAAGAGGGTAAGTATCCTTAAATGCACAGAAGCCTCCAGGTTGTCTCCAGGGAGGGATCAAAAGTCAAGATGGTGGCCACAGCCCTGCGATCAAAGCCCTGCCCTTGCTTTTTTGACCCCCTCCCTGCGGGTGCCCCTGGGAGCATCGGTCGTCTGGGCAGGAAGAAAGCAGCTTCGACTTGCAATGGCCTTGGCAGTGGAACATTGGAATCTGATACCATCGAGCACATCCCGAATTCCTCTCTTCTTCAGGCAGCACCTTCAGCACTGAAGTTCACGGCTTGGAGAGCGACACCAGATATTTCTTCAAGATGGGAGCCAAGACGGTTGTAGGGTCGGGGCCATATTCCGGGGTGAAAGATGTGCAAACCTTGCGGGAGGGACTTACAGGTACCAGGTGCTGGTTTCTTTGGCCCCCAGGAAGCCCTTAAAAAAGCGGGAGGGGAGGTTCATATTACACCTTTCATTTGGCTCCTGAATTCATCCCTGTTGTGGGTTCCAACAGTGCAGACAACTCCACTGATATGAGTTGGCACCACACATTAAGCCACAGACAGTGGGAAAACCCAAGATTAAAACTAACTGCACTTAGCCTCCTTGTCTAATTCTAAGTCTTGAATAGAGTTATTGAAGCAAGTTGTGTAAAGTAAGCCTTAGTGTTTTGACCAGTGCTTGGTATACCATGATGAAGGGTGCATCACCCTGAATGTCCAATCCCACCCCCCATGAAGAACCTGGTGCCTTTTCAGAGTGACCCCAACTCCCAGCTCTGATGGTTGAGGCTGCTGTGAGTGTAGTGGGGAAGGGGCTGGGCCAGGAGTGAGGAGACCCAGGTACTAGCCCCCTCTCAGCCTTGGAAGCTTCCTGGGTGACTTTGGGCCAATCGCTCCTTCTTAGCCCAGAACTAGGGTGGTCCAGTGGAGAAGGTGCTGAACTAGGAGTGGGAAGACCCAGGTTCAAATCCACTCTCAGCCGTGGAAGCTCCTTGGGTGACTTTGGATCAATCTTTCCCTCTCAGTTCCAGAACCAGCCTGACATAGTGGTGAAGGTGTTGGACTAGGAGGGAGGAGACCCAGGTTCTAGTTCCTCCTCATCCATAGAGACTCCCTGGGTGACCTGGGGCCAGTCTTTCTCTCTCACCTCAACTTTCCGCACAAGGTTGCTGTGAGAAACAGAGGAGGAGGGAATATGCTGTCTTGAGCTCCTAATGAAAACGTGGGATAGAAATCTAACAATTTAGAGAGCCATTGTGGCATGTCTTGACATGGAATTGACACCACAGGGACCCAGGTTTGGGTCCCTCCTCAGCCAGAGAAGCTCATGGGGTGGGTTTGGGCCAGCCCCTCTCTCTCAGCCCAGCCTACCTTACAGGACGGTTGTTAGGGGAAAAGTAGGAAGAGGAAGTCTTCCTCTCTGCTTCCTCCTCTTCATGTTCTCCTTTGTTCTTCCCCTACAGATATCTTAGTTCATTCTGTCACGGGGATCACAGTCGTGATCTGCCTCTTCTGCATCGTCTTCTGTGTGTGTGCCAGCTTTCGAAACAATAAACTGAAGTAAGTCTCGTGTTGACTTGGTCTCCAACACATTGAGCCCAGTTGTCTACCTTTTCTGCCCCATTTGGTTTCTACCTGTGTGCAAGGGTGAAAATTGTCAAAAAATTCTGAATTATGGAATGGATGGCGCCCTATCAAGATGCATGTGGGGAGGGATTGTTTTATCTTGAAATGCCCCCCCCCCATGAAACGAGGTAACCAAGCAGAAACTAGCTTGGTGTGATGGAATGGAATTATGAAGGCCAGGCTCAGGGAGATAAGCATTTTCTTAGCTCACCAAAAGAGCATGGGAACTACAAGAGGATGAGGCTGGCACCTCCCTGAGGAATTCACGGTGTTGTGGCTGGGGGGGTTGGGGGCTGGGGGTTCAGTCTTGGGAGATTTTTGCCTGAGGGTGGAGGTAATAAACATAGCTGGACTGAATTGGCATTGTCTCTTGGAGTTCCTTGGGCTAGGCCTGACATCAACCATCCCTGAGCAGAAAAATACCATCCTTCCCGGCAGCATTTGCTACTAAGGTCATGGTCTCCTCGGGCTTGTGATCATCCTGGGATCAACGTCTGTGGAGCTGTGTCTGGATCATTGGAGGATTACACTTTGGTGAACGTTTACTGTCTCGTTCCTTTCTGTAGGAAATCTGTGCCTGGTTTGGATTCCCAAGCTTCAGGAAGCCATATGTACCACCACCGGAGCCGGCAGGCAGCACCCCTCTCAGTAATCCCATCAAATTCTCACGAAATGGAGTCCCTCATGGCTCCCCTCTCTGACGGCGCTCCCTCACCTCCAAGTGACAGTGCAGAGCTGACCGAAGCTCATGGCCTCATCCGTGACAGTCCTCTGGAGGACAGTGTGGGCCACATCCAAAGAAAGGTATGCCAGGGTCTTTTCATCATGGTTGATGGGAGCCCACGAACCTGCGAAACATTCATGGGAAGTCCTGCACTAATCGAACGGAACGTGTCTGATTTTGTTCCTGTGAACAACAGGCCACCATTAAAAAGTTGGCAATTCTCTGAAGAGACAGACCTGCAGCCCCATTTATGTGCCTCTTAAGGTCACACACAAGAGCACAGTTACAAATCAACCATTGTTGGTGCTGTGATGCTTGGGGGTGTTTTCTTTTTAAAGGTTTTTTTTTTAAATTAGCTTTTTAATTAGCTCAAAGAGTTGCCCACCTCTGCTTTTCAACTGGAATGGAAAGAATGCTTTTTTTTTTTTTTAACAAGAGGTGCCCAACCCAGACCTTCCAGAGCTTAGTGAATTCTAAACATATTCCAAACAACTAATGGGGGCCGATAATCTGATGATCGTGGTCTGTAGAAATATTAACTTGCAGCCTTCATCAGAAAAAGAAAAAAATGAGCCACCTTGCTTGTAAGCTTCAAGAAAAAGAAGGTCTGCACTTTTCTTAAGAAAGAAAAGTTCCTTAACGTTACCTCTGTCTTTCTATATTAGATCTTAGTGTTACTAGAAGGCCCCTATAATATCAGTGGAAATGCATTGCCAATGAATAGAGTGTATGTGTGAGTCACTTATCTTCTTGCAGTATTTGGTCTTCCTTGAAATATGCTTTGCCATCTGTGTTTTTGCTTTAGCTCAAGAATGCACAGTCCTTTTCCAGCCCAGATCTAGGACAAAGACATACACACACACACACTTAATTCTGTAATAATTCTGTAATTTAAATTAAAATGAGTTAAATGCAGTTCTGTATAATGAATGCCCATGCATTTACTCTCCTTCCTTTTTCTCCCATGAAAAATAACAGTTGGGGGCACCCTTGGAAGAGTTACTTGGAGCGCTGGGGCTACAGGTCAGCTATCTGTGCAGCCAGCGAAATTGCAGTGGCAAATCTTGAGCATCCAAGAAATGTCCCGATTGCATAGCAAAGCATGTTAGTGTTCCTTTGGACATTCATTGGAGAGTATATTTGGGCTCTTAGGAGGGGAGATGGACCCTCCCTGATCCAGAACAGTATTTTTTAAAAAATCAGTCAACCCAGAGCTTTGTATTTCCAGTCAAACTGAAGTGGTACAAGTCTGGACGAGTCTCTGGTTCCCCAAATGTCACTGTTGTTCCTTAGGCCTTGTCTTTCAGCCACAGAGCTTGACACCCACAAACCATCTCACAAAAATAGAGCTAGACACAGATGGCTTTTCAGTTGCTTCTCCCAGCTGGGGAGCAAAGCAACTGGGTGGACGATTTCTTTGAATGTTTTGAGGGAAAGGAGAACAACTCACAGTGGATGAGCTCCTGAAAAAGGTCCCTGGTGGGAGGCATTTCCTCCTTTCCATTTGAATGGAAGCCTGGGGGGTTGCAGACTGCCAGAGAAAGGATTATACAAAAAAGAGGCAGGACCTGCACAGGACCCCCTTGGCTCCCTCATTGGGTAAGTAGCTGTAAGGATGCATGGCGCCTGGGAGAACTCTTCTCTTCTCCTTTGAAAGGCATTTCCAAAGCGAGTTCTCCATTCAGTCAGTCAGTCAGATCTGAAATGGAATAACAAAAGGCAGGAGAACATCTCAAGCAGCCTGTAAGCCAAGGGCCAGGGCACGATCTTGCTTCATCACTGTGTAATACCCTGATTTGTACACCAGGCTGCAGTTTTACGGAGAGGCAGAGCAGATAGGTGTCCACCCTCCCCACCCCCAACCCCACTTTGGTGAGTTTGGTCCATGATTCTTCTTTGACTTTCTCTTGCCAAGCTGTTTGTCTTCCCTTCGGCTCCCCGCTCCTCCCTGCTTAATTCTTCCTAGAGTTTGTCGGGAGCCTTTCATTTCATTAGGGAATGTTTAATTGGCCTAATTTAGCTAATCTGTTTATGTCTGCCTTTGTAGCCTGTGGAGAATGCGTAAGGTAATTATGGGATTGACTAAAACAAGTGTGTGCGGAGCCCCTGGGATTTCCCATTTACATCTATCACCCACTTCTGGATCCACGGCTGACACCAAAGTCATAACTGCGGGAGGAAGAAGCAATCAAATCAGAGCCCAATAAAACTGATTGGCAGGTGCTTGGCATATGTCTCAGCTCAGCACCACATACTGGGGAGGCTGGCATATTATTGAACCCCTAAACAATGTTGGGGAGGTCTAGTGGATGGAGGTTTGGTTAAGGGTTCATGTTCTGCCTCACTCATAGACTTGTTCTTTATTATTGAATCATACCCCTTCTCTCAATTTCCATGAACAAAACAGGAATCATAACCCTATAGCAGGAAAACTTCATTCTTTCTGGGTTGTAGCCTGACCTTGGTTTTAGCTTCACTGCCTAACCAGACCTTTTTCCTGATTGGGTCCAATGGCTAGGGAATTCTGGGAGTTGAAGTCCATACATCTTAAGGTTACCAAGGTTGGGAAACACTGCCATAGACTAACACAACTCTCTTCCTGCAGGGTCTGCAAAATCATAGGCATGTGTTGGATACCATGAGGTCACATGTGTCATGACATCATTGCACATCACTCATGGAATGAATTATGTATGATGCAAATTTCATAAGGCACTTCATCTGCATGATAATACTATGATGCATCTGATGTCGCTTGTCCCCGCTTGCCCGCCCCACCTCCCGTGAATGCCCATTTGCAGACTTCTGTACTTTCCCCAGTCTACCAAGAGCTCACTTTAGAACAATTGGTTTTGAGGACACAAAGTGGGGTAGAGAGGGAGGCTATGATTAAGTTCCCTCCCTCTCTGGAATGGCAGAATCGCAAAATTAAACATTATTTATTTACTTGCCACTCCAATGAAAACCAGTTTTGAGCCCCTTCTGCTCCTAATTACAGTAAGACATTTAAAATACAATGCAAATTGCAAAGATCTAACCACTAATCACCAAAGGATAAATCACACTCAACCATCATACAGCTGTACTCATCTGGATGCACATTAAACCCTTGGTGCTGGTTCTTCAGGAGCAATTCATAATTCTCACATCCCCAGAGGTCCTCCAGAAATGCCAGATCTTGATTGGCTTCCAAACAGCAGCCAGGGAGAGGTGGCTGTTATCCTTGGAGTCCGCTCTTCCAGAGGAGAGGACCTATCATGGAGAAGGCTCACCCTCAGGTCCCCGATGGCAACATTCCATAGAGTTGGGGTGTCAGCCCCACTAGGTAGACCAGACCAGGAAATCAACTCCACAAGACAGCTAAAGCTTCTTCTACTGAGATGAGCTGCAATAACAGAATCTTGCACGTCTGATTGTGCTGGACTTCCTCCCCCTTCTTACACCACCATGAATCAGGGAGGTGTCTGTCTGAGCCACTTCCAAATGTTATCGGATCTTTCTGGACTTAAAAAATGCTTCAGCCCTTTTCGTCCAGGTAACTGTACCTGGTTATATTGGGGTCATCTTCCTTACTTTCTACATGGGGACCTTCAGCAAATCTCCTCTACTGGATCTGACCAGGTGGGCAGATTCTGCTCAAAGAGAGTAGATTCTCAGATCCCAGCCCCTTTAAAGGGCTTTAAAGGTGACAACCAGCACCTTGAATTGCACCCAGAAGCCAACTTCCAACCATGCACCCCCAGGTAGTGGTGTCACATTGGCAAAACATGATACGCCTATTACAACTTAAGTTGCTGTGTTCTGGAGGAGCCATAGGCCTGAGGAGGGGGGGTCAAAAAAGTCAAGGTGGTGGTTTTGACCTCACAGATGAAGCCACACTTTTTTAACGTGTGTTACATGATGCACTTTAAAAAGGAGCAAGGTATAATGGTATGTGGGAAAGACCTTGGGAGACTGGAAGTGATGCTGCCTAGGGAATGGTCAGATAAGAGACAGCATAGCCCACAGCTGGATAGTGGGTGGGGTAAGAAGCTCAGAAGAGACCCTTCCTAATTTCTCATGCTATAAAGGAGACATGGGGTGGGGGGAATTGCACTTTCAGACTTGCAAGATTCTGTTAATGTAGCTTTTCAATAAAGTAGAATTAGCTCATCTGATTGTGTTTCCTGTCTGGTCTACCTAATAAGGCTGACATCAGTCTTGCAAGTCTGAAAGTACAATTCTGCCCCCATCTCCTTTACAGCCTGAGAAACTAGGGAGGGTCCCCTTTGAGCCTCTTGCCCCATCCACTGTGCAGCTGTGGGCTATGCTGTCTCTTATCTGTCCATTCCCTTGGCAGCGTCTCTTCCAGTCTCCCAAGGTCTTTCCCATATACCATTACACAAGGTTTCAATTGTGCAGTTGCAGTCACCATCTTTGTTGACTCCCTGCTACAGACAAGTGTAACATTAACACAAAATGTAGAAAACCTTTAATGGGATGAAAGCAAATGACTGAAATCTCATGAAGCTTTGGTGCTTCCTTCTGATCTTAGGGATGAGGTTGCCCAAAACCTGTACATTTTTTTGCCAATTTTATTTATATATTGTTTGTTTGTTGTTGCCTACACACTAGCATGCAAGACTGGGTCATAGCATCTTTGCTTTTCATGCATTAAATACAAATAATTGATGACTGAAAAGTAGAGGAGCAAGCAGGCGGCTGGGATGATATTTTGGAGCTGTGACCGCTAGAGAATAGCCTGGTGAGTGGGCAGCTGTGCAAACGGGACAAATAAATACTTATTGCCTTCAGTTGGCCTTGTCCCCTTTCCCGCCCCCGCCCCCACCCCATTTAAAAGGCTCACAGATAACTTTGGGCCCAACATTTACAAATGTAAGCTCAAATGCACACGTTGACTCTAAAAGCATTAAGTCCTGCGTGCATTTTGGCCGCTAGAGGGAAGCAAACACACTGTAAAAGTTGAAAGTGGACCTGCTATGGTGTGTGTGTGTGTGTGGGGCCTTTTGCATTTCAGTGGACAAGCAGGAGATCTTCCCATCCTGAAACTTGTTTGCAACCACACACAAACCCCCATCTACTCAGTGTTCAGTGGCTGCATTAAAAAAACCAAAACTTTTATTTTTTTAACTAAACAGAACAGAAAAAGAGAAAAAGAACAGAAAGCAAAACCAGAAAAAATATTGTATATATGAGGGCTTCTCATATGCGTATACATATGTATATAAACTTTTACACAACAGTTTCAACAAAGCATGGCTATCACACGCCAAACCGCTTTTTTGGAGCTTGCAAAGACGTAGAACTATAAACTGACCCAAAGGATGGGTTTTGTGCAATGCATTAAACCACAGCAGAACTAATCAAGGTTAAGACGAATGAACCTGCATGTGGAAACAGCTGTAGAGTCTTTATCTGACCCGAGAACACATGTTGTGTGAATACTTACAACTGAGTTCCAGATTTAATCTCTACTGCTAGTACTACTTCTCCTAGAAATATGGTTGTCCTCATGCTTGTCCCATCTGAGCTGTCTTGGACTTGAACAAATGATGGGGGTGGGGGTGCAGTGATCTGTATTGACCCCCCCCCTTTTTTTTTCTGGCCATTGAGAGACTTGTGAACAAACCAGCACGTTCATTTCCCTTTGCTTTCATGTGAGAACTAATTGTAACTCAGCCTGATTCAGCTTTCTTGATACCTCTACACTTAGCTTACCTGCGAAAAGTAGCTGGATAGAAGTTAGCTTTCTCATCTCCAACCCTCACTTTGGCTATAATCCTTCTTTGTCTTTAATTTCCTCCTGCATAAACCATTCTTGACAGGTTTATGTACCTGGTTGAGAGAAGGTTGAGAGGTTTATGTACCTGGTTGAGGTACCAGTTGAGAGAAGTAAGAGAAGAAAACCTGCTTTGCATTCCTAGGATAAAGCAATGAACGTCAGTTTGGAAAGCAGCGATTTCTTGTGGAGGAAGAGGAACCTGGTTCTAAGATCGGTGTCACAGAAGCCTTTAAGTTACTGATATTTAAAAATGTATTTCCTGCCCATGGAATGCATAAGTATCGCCCCGAGTGGCTCACTGAATCAGAACTGGTGTAAAGTTCAGATTTTGAAAGAAAGAGGTTCAAAGCAATTACAGAATTCTCTAATAAAAGCAGGCAGAGGTAACAAGCAATGTATTAAAAAAAAAAAAAGCCTAGAATCTTCCTAAAAAAGAAAGCTTCAACCAATTGGTTAAAGACCCTCAAGGATGACCTGCCAGACTGTCTTCTTGAGGCAGAGAGTTCCAGAGTTTAAGTGTGGCCCCGAGAAGCCACATCATGTTGCTATATCATTGGCACACAACCTTCTGCTTGCGTTGGGCAGATGTTTTTGAAGGCGAAGTTATATCTGGCTGATGTTTCTTTGCTCTTCCCCATTTTACAGGAACAGAGCAAGGATGAGGCATCCACACTCCAAAAACTGGAGGGGCCAGGGCCCTGTGGCCCCAATTTGGGGAAGAGGAATTAGGGATTTTAAGGGCTCAAATGAGTGCCTTAAATGTCTCCAAAATTGCTTAGGATCCCTCCCAACACACCAAAATGCAAAGTAAAGGTCCAAAGCATTTGGCTTTTTTCATTCCAGGAGGGCTGCAGAAGACCATACATGGCCTGTGGGGCATTCTGTTTTGCACCCCTTGGCTAGAGGATTGGAGAACCAACCCATAGCAGGAATACCAGAAGGAATTCAGGGGATGGAGATCCCCTAAGGAGGCATTCATTTTTTCCCCACTCTTTGCTCCAGGATGAGCCAGGCAAAAGAAACACTCAAAGATCAGGGGATGGGAACAGAAATATAGATATAGTCTACCTTCGCATTCCCCTACCTAGCAGGCCCCATCTGCACTGCCTGAGCATGCTGGGGGATGTAAATATGAGTGTGGGATTAGAGATAATGTAATTTTTCTTTTGGTTCTGTAGCCTCCATGGGAGAAATCTCTGAACAGCTGGACAAGTGGCATCACTGGCTATGGAGTCTCTATTCCAAAAGAGCCCACCATGACTTTGAATGGATCCTTGAAGATGACTTCCAATGGGGGACAAAAACTCTTGTTGCAAGCTCTGGTTTATGAGGTTGTTACGGTGTGTATTCCCAGCAGGGAGACATTTTTTGTTCATAATGGGAAGGAGAACCCACACTTATCTAAAGGACTAACATTAACTATGGAGATGGTGAAGTTCTGTTAAGACATTTTTTGTTCATAATGGGAAGGAGAACCCACACTTATCTAAAGGACTAACATTAACTATGGAGATGGTGAAGTTCTGTTAAGACATTTTTTGTTCATAATGGGAAGGAGAACCCACACTTATCTAAAGGACTAACATTAACTATGGAGATGGTGAAGTTCTGTTAAGGTTCTCAGCTTTACTTGCAATACTGGGTTGCCTGTTTTATCATGCTTTGAGCAGAGCATTGCACTGTTTTCAAGGGTTGTGCATCATTTGGTTGCTTCTGCCTATGGATTTTGGCCCATCCCACCTCTAGCCCTTGGGAAAATAGCAGCAATACACTTCGATACCCTGGTGCCTCCTTGCGGTGCATCAAGATGAGTTCTTCTTTTATCATTTGCACTACACCCTACCTGCTGCTCCCTTTAGTCATTCTTGTGTCCTTTTTGACCTCCCAGACTGGTGACATTACTTCCTTGGGCTCCAGCTGCTAGTGATAGTGGAAGGACCACCACTTGTAGCTCAGGAGAATAGAAATCTGCCATTGTGGTCCAGGAATCATAATACTACCCATCCTGAGTGGGAATAGCTCCATAAGGATTCAGCCAGAAGACTTCCACCCTACCTGATGGTGCCAGAAATTACAGCTCAAACCCAAAGTCCTCCACCTAACTTGTTTCATGAGAATTCTTTGCTGGTTGTGGAGGATTTGGGGAGCATCACACTGTGGAGTTTTGAATTCCCACGATTCCCAGTTAATACAGCCAGTGGTCAGAAATTCTAGGAAACAAAACATGGTTTCAGCATAACTGGAGGTTACCCAGATTGGTGAAGCCCACCTTCCATAATGGAGCCCACCTGACCATCACAACTCTTCCTCTTCCTCTCTTCCCCAGAGAATTTGGGGATTAGATATGAGATTTTTTGAATTCCAAATGAGAGAATATCTGGTTGGGAGGCTTAGCATCTTTCTCCTGTATCTATGTTGAGCTTACTGAGTAGGCCTACTTTGAAATATGTTCTTGCTCGCTTAAATTTGGATCCCTGCACTAGCAAGGGAGCTGGATTTATTGGCCTCAGTGGCTACTTCCACCTCTCAGGTTCTAAGAATCCCTGTTTTTTTTTTCCTCCCAAGAATGAAGTGAAAAAGGAGCACCGGCCCAGTAGCCTCAACCAACTGGAAGCTGAGGTCATTGTCCATTCGGATTTCTTAGCCTCCAACCGGGATCTTGGTTCCCAACTCCGTATGCTGGACCTGGAGGGGACTCTCTGTGAGGACTGTGACCCAGAACCATTCCCCAAAGAGGACCTGCCTGAACAGATTTCTTCCAACTCCTCTAAGCAGGATCTCAGTGTTATATCCCAGGACCGAGATGACAAGAGTGAACCTGAAGCACCTGATACATTGCTAAAGACCGAGAAGGGGGCTCACCAGAGGGCTTCCAAATTACATGGAACTGATGCAGGGCTCCCCCAGCCTGGTGGAAGCTTGGACGCAGTGGGAAGTGGGGATTCTGAGTCATCTCATAAAGGGGGAGTGGACACACAGCCCATCTTGCGTGATGGTCTTCCCACAGCCCAGCCACAAGACCTTCTGCATAGTGGCCTCTCTAGTATCATTAACTCGCCTTCGGTGTTTGAGAATGCAGTGTGTGTCCACCATCTTTGAAGAGAGCTTTGATTAAATTCTTGGCCATGGCAGAGCTAGGAGTAACGTAATAGCTGTTAAGACTTAGGCCTTCATGGCACTAAATAGTCTCATAACTCATGGTCTGGAAGGGAAGGGTATTAGCGCCATAAGGTTTTATAAAGAGGACCCTTCCCCCCGCCAAGTATTTTGTCTGCTCTCTCTCTCCTTTCCTTCCCCAGCCACTCTGCAAAGGCTACTGAGATCAAGTGAACTTCATACCACCATGAGTTGATGTGCCTGACACAGACCCAGGAGTAGGCAATGTAAGGCCTGTAGGCCTCTTCCCAGCTCACCAAACCCACATACCCCACATTACCACCAGGCTGCAGCTGTCATATAGCCAGCTGCATTGGGGGAAACTTTGGTCCATGAGACATCATCAGGTTAGTCCCAGTGTTGATCTGCTTTTCTGAATGGTGTAACAGATCTTAAGCTCCATTCTTCTACATCTCCGAAGGATGGAATGAAGCAGAGATGGAGAGCAATAGGTCAGATGGCCTGAGAAGATTTCTTGGAGTCCCTTGTTCTGCTGCTGTAGGTGCTCATATAGGACTAAAGCCAGATGCAATTTTTGCCAACACTATTTTTACTAAGAAGACACATCAGTTTCCAAACTTAATACAGTCCATAATGGACTGTGAAAAATAAATTTGCATTAGAATAATAGACATTTGTATTTTTACAAGGATCTTTCAATTAGGATAATTGTGAAAATATTTCCTGCCAGGTCTCAAAAACCCATCAAACCTGTTTGACCAGAAGCATCAAGCCACTTTTAGCTCCCTTAAAAATCACTATCAGTCTCTAGGCAGAGACTGACTGTTTTCACACAATGCACCAAGGCGAAGTATGGTTTGTTCATTTGTAGCTTAAGCATGTTGAGTGACCCCCAATCTTTGTGGTTTATAATCTGTAGGTTACAGCTTAATGTGGCCGGTCAACCCAGCTAGTTTATTCAGCAAGCTCTGGCAAAGCATATCTTGGCTTAGCATTGTTCTGTGAACCCAGTCTCTGAATCAGAGGACCATTCTCAATTGCCTAGGTGTGATTTCCTTTCATATTAGCATCAGGATGGCTAGAGGGTTAACTGAACATTCAATAAATACAGTAATCTTGTCAGCTTCCTGCTAGCATATTCCAGCATTGTTGATTTGGTGCAAGGTGTGGCTAGTGCAAACCACACCAGGACAAGCTGCAGATGTGTTTGGCATCAGATGTGTGTCTGTGAGATGAACTGTGACTGGGAAACTGCCAGTGCAACAACTGTGTTTGTACCTCAGATCCATCAAGAAAAGAGCTGAGGCTGTGGTTTTCTTCATGATATAGTTCCACTTTTGGCCAGCGTTCCTCCTTAACCAGAACTGATAAGGCATGATAAGTACCGTTGCTGTTGCAGTGATCAACCTTCAGCCCAGTGACATTCTCTTGAAGTGGACTTGCTATAGATGGAGCATAATTTACATTCTCTCCCCCCCCCCCCCCCCCCCCCCACACC